AGACTCCCTGGAAAAGACCCTGATGTTGGGAAACTGTGAAGGCAGGATGAGATGGTTGGACAGTGTCATCGAAACTACCAACATGAATTTGTCCAAACTCCGGGAGGCAGTGGAAGACAGGACAGCCTGGCGTGCTCTGGGGTCACGAGGAGTCGGACACAACTTAACGACTAAACAACAACAACTTGAACCTTCTTTCAGAAGTCTTGTGGTGTCAAATTGTTGGAAAGATAAATCCTACCTGAATTCATTCCACCTTTATTCTCTGAAGTCATATTCTTGGTAGGTGTTCATGTTTACAGCTAAGATACACTGTATGACTTACCTAATATAAACATCTCCTGACCTAGGCAAATATTTAGGTGACCTATCAGGTGAATGGAATTTGTGTGTGGAAACAGGTTTCCTTAACTAATATTAAGCACGCAAAAACACTATGCAGGAAATTGCGTACTGCACCCAGCAATACTGTAACTTCCAGGAATACTGTACAGTAGGGTCTTGACTTGAGAACTTAATCCGTATTGGAAGGCGGTTCTCAAGTCAAAAAGTTCTCAAGTCAAATCTGCATTTCCCATAGACCTTCTTTCAGAAGTCTTGTGGTGTCAAATTGTTGGAAAGATAAATCCTACCTGAATTCATTCCACCTTTATTCTCTGAAGTCATATTCTTGATAGGTGTTCATGTTTACACACAAGATACACTGTATGACTTACCTAATATAAACATCTCCTGACCTAGGCAAATATTTAGGTGACCTATCAGGTGAATGGAATTTGTGTGTGGAAACAGGTTTCCTTAACTAATATTAAGCACGCAAAAACACTATGCAGGAAATTGCGTACTGCACCCAGCAATACTGTAACTTCCAGTAATACTGTATTTAATTTCCCTCCCAGCTGACTGCTGATTCTTGCCCTACAAGTCTGTGCCCTAGCTATTCTTGTTACTGTGTGTGTCACAGAAGCACCCTAGTGGCATTCCCATAATTCCCTGAATTAGGATGAATGTATCTATTTCTGCCCAAGTGGGGGGAAGTATTTGACCTTTTAGTACTGGCTCTGTAATTGCAATATCATTAAGAGAAAGCCAGCAAAATTAACGAAGCCTGGTCAATTTTCTGTACACTTTCCATAAATTCATTATGCCACTAACCTTTCACACACACATGCTCTACTGTAGATTATTTAAATTTGTGGGCTGTACTTGTGTTCAGCAGAAAGATAATTTAAAACAGACCTTTGCTACAAAACCAGAGCAACAGCGGAAGGTTTATATAAGAAGAGCACTGCTCGATCAGGCCAAATGGCCATCTAATCCAGCTTCCTGTATCTCACAGTGGCCCCACCAGATGCCTCTGGGCACACATGAGACAACTAGATGCCTGTCTCTCGATACCCCTCCCCTGCATCTGGCATTTTGAGGTACCTTCCTTTTAAGCCTGGAGATTATACATCCCAATTATGGCTTTTAACCTGTCATGGACTTTTCCTCCAGAAATCTGCCCAATCCCATTTTAAAGGCACCTACGCCAGATGCCATCACCACATCCTAGTCAGTTCCACAGACTAACAACACGGTGGGTCAATAAATATTTTCTTTGGTCTGTTCTCACACTCCCTACACTCAGTTTGAGTGCATGCCTCCTGGTTATAATATTGCCTGAGGGTAAAACAGCTTCCCTCTATCCATCTTATCCATCCCCTGTATGATTTTCTATGTCTTAACCATGTCCCCCCTCAGGTGCTTTTTCTCTAGTCTAAAGAGCCCCAAACACTGTTGTAGCCTTTCCTCATAAGGGAGATGCCCCAAACCAGTCATCATTTTAGTCACTCTCTTCTGCACCTTCCTCAGTTCCACTATGCCTTTTTTATTAACATTTTATTAATTTTTCAATATATCTACATTTAGTTCATGCTTGTTAAACATTGTGTTACATGGGTTGCTTATAATTATTTGGTTTTGCATTTTGGTGTCTTAGCTGTCCTTTCAAAATCTATACATTTTTAAAGCATTTGAACCAATCTTATTTATTTATTTATTTATTTAACTTGTATGCTGCCCACACTTCACAAAGGTCTCTGGGCAGCTTACAACAATTTAAATACAATAAAAAGATAAAAAGATAAAACAATTACAATACAATTAAAAATGCAGTACTCTAAAAATTGCCATCAGGACTTATAGCTGATATTATTCCAATTAAAAATCTTCTGGAACAAGAAGGTTTTGACCTGCCATCATCAACATCAGTATCAGACGAATCTCACTCGGGATGGCGTTCCATAGTCTAGGAGGCCCTTTGTCTATAAGCCATCCCTCTTACCTCTTTGAGGGATGGCTTTTTCAGGAGAGCACCCTGGCTATTAATTGCTGGGTAGGTTTATATGGAAGGAGGCGGTCCTTCTGGTATCCAGGGCCCAAGGCGTTTATGGCTTTATACGTCAAAACAAGCACTTTGAATTACACTTATGTGTATTTTAGTGTACAGTATTGGCTATCATAATATTGCTCTCATAGTATACAGTATTCTCAAAATCGTCTAGTAAAATACCTAATAAAAGCAATTCTAGTTTTGAATCTATATAATTTTGAGGCAATTTAACCGAGTTTGTATTTTATACCAATAATAACTAAATAGATTCACCTTACCTCACCTTAAGACCCACCATGTTATGCATTTACCCTGATTAGTGATCCCTTATTTCAGTTTAATTCCTTTTAAAAGATATGTCCCCTTAGAAGTCCAGAAGTTAGGTATACACATGCTTTCAACGTTGAGGACCACCTTAATATTTTTTTTCCTTTACGTCTTTCTAAGTAACTTCTTCTCTTGTTTGTCTTTTTCCAATTCTTATTCCTATCTCTCTAAAAATTCTGCCGTCTCTTGTATCGTCTGAAATCATTTTATGCACTTGATCTATCTCCAATAAATCTTCCAGGCAATTTTTAATTAAATCTGCTGCTTCTCTCCCCTTATCTTTGCTTAGCACACCTAAGACTCTCCTCATCTCCAGAATTGGAATTAAATCTCCTAAATTTTATCCTCTGATTTCCTCCAGCCCCTTCTTTGGTTGGCATACATCATCCACCACCCTCACATTTCCTTATTCATTATTCCTTGTCTCCTGTTGAATATAGTCCATCCTTAACTTCTTCTTCATTGTGGGATCTCACTATTTCTAAAATTGTTTGAAGGGTAGATTTTGTTTCATCCCAAAATATTCTTTGTTGTAGCATTATGTCCCAAGATGTCAGATAATTGTATTCCAAGTGAAAGATATCCAGTTGCTTAAAGTAATCAGTTGTTTCATCAATAATTGCTTTAATAAGTCCACTTTAATAGATTGATCATCGTTAGGGTTAAATTTGAATCCACTCCAGTTAATTTGTCTATGCTTCAGTCAGTTCTCAGGAAAAAAGGGGAAGTCAAAAGAAATTCTAAGCTTAAGATCGCCATAGAGTGGTTGATAAGACTTGGGAGAACGCTATTGGATCAACCTAATTTAGAAATTATGCAAATATCTTATTTTCACTGATCTATACTTCATCAAGGAATTTAATACAGTATTCACAATACAAAGGACAAGCATTAATATAGGCTTTCTCTGAATATTTCTGCAAATTAGAAAATGGGTTGGTTACTAATGGTGAAACAGTGGTGGTAGATTTTTTTTCAGATTACTTAAATTATACGGGTCCTGATGTTTTTGCTGGATTATGGTTCACATCCTATCTGGTGTTGGCTGGGGCTGATGGGAGTTGGTCCAACAACAACTGAGAGCCAGAGATTCCTCACTAAGAATAGAAGAATTAAATATTGTGAAAAGCTGTTGTTTCACTACTATTCATATTATTCACATGGTACATATACACCCTGTCTTTCTTCCAAACAGCTAATTACAATATACTGTATATGATGCTTGCTTCCACCACATTTTATTTTAATAGCAGTTCTGTGAAATAGATCAGGCTGAAAGATAGTGACTTATCCGAGGCTGCTCAGTAAATTTTTAGTTAAGAATTTAAATCTATATTTCCTTATTCCTGGACTCCTAATCCAGTATTCTAGCCACGGCATTGCACTGACTTTCTAAAGTAACTGAAAATACTTGGGAAAAGAACTAGGAAATCTCCATTTCTGGCATGTCAGCAAGCACATTCCATTCATTGCAATGAACATCCCATCAGCTCTGCTTGTCAATGCAGCCTTGTAACTTTGTGATGGGGAAAAGATTCCTCTCTACCTGTTGTAACCCAACAAATGGCTAGACAAGTTACGCTAAGCTGAAGCCAAGTTTTATATCATAGAACCACATCCAACAAAGAGAGAGAATGCTTTCGTCCGCTTCATTTCTTAGCATTTGCTGTATGGGTGAGTTTCCTGGTTCAACAAAGGGTCACACGACAATGCTACCTTTGGTCCTATGATGAGGCAGAGCCAGGTGGCTACCTCAGGCAGCACTTTACTATTGTATTTTTCCTGGCATAGATAGGGAGAGGTGCTTGTGGGATTTTCCCAAGTGTGTGCCTTTTGTTACTATGTTTCAGAAACAGCAGAATCGATTGCTACAACAATTATTTGGTAGAGTAGAACCATTCTGCTAATTCACTTATATGCTACCTGAAAATAATAAATATCTGCCCCCCCTAAAATACGTATTCAAATGTATTTCCAGGGTGTGTTTACCATAAGTGGCCACTAGAGAGAGGCAGAGACCATGTAATATATAGAGCTCAATAGCTGTATTTTCCAGTATCTGTGTGGGACTTAGAACCAATCCCCAGTCTCTTCAGCCTTCAGAACAAATTTCTGCACCTGTAATTACTCAAAACCACACAGAAGCCTTCTATGGCCATCCGTACACCCTACGCACTTTGATAAGTGGGTTGCAGCCTTGCGCTGTTCCTATGGAGACACAGATTCTCAGTAATCTAGGCTTTTAAAATTTTAGGAATAGTTGAAAAGTTCTGACACTATAATAAGAACAATCATAAGAAGCAAAGTGTTGTGGCACCTTTAAGATAACACGTTTAATAAATGAATACTAAATCTGTTAGTTGTAAAAGTGTCACAAAAGCTTGGTTATGAATGGTGTAATAGTTTTATAAAGGTAGTCATGTTAGTCTGTGCTAGCATATCAGGCCAAAACAAATTAAAAATAAAAAAACCAAGGAAGACAAGAGCATAGTGGCATCTGAAAGACTGATTGATATATTTTAATGTGGGCTTTCATAGACAAGTCTACCACTTCCTCAGTCTGAAGGACTTTTAAGGTGCCACAGTATTCTTGTATTCTTTTAAATTTTTTTTTCCATTTGTTTTTGCCTGATGGTGGAATAGTGCTGGTAGATGTGTTCTCAGTCTTGTATATGTTATTGTTTTACCTATAGTTGGTGGCTATTTCAGAAAAAGGAGATTTAAATTTTAAAAATATATATATACCTTTTTTAATATCCTCCATTCAAATCTTTCATAACCTTTCCCCGCCCCCTTTA